GTTCTAAGTGTTATATTGATCAAACAATTGAAATGAATAAACAATACAAAGTATTGAATTAATTAAAAAAAGTATTCATACTTCTCTTTAACATATCAGAATCTCTTTCTACTAAAGCATGCACTTCTTTAAATAAAGAATATTGGTTTGAATAAAAGGCTCATAAGAATCTAGAAAAAAACATAAAATCAAATAAAAATAAAGAAATAAATACCTGCTAGCTTACTTGAACTTACACGTTGACATTAGATTTGGTTTTGCTTTATTTTCAAAAATACATTTAATATAAAAAATTAAAAAATTAGTATACAATCAGTTGTCAGAACTGTAAGCTAAAGTATTTATTTTGCTGTATTTTTAACAACATTTCAACAAAAAAAAAAAATTTAAGTTCCAAAAAAGTTTTCTTCTTGCAAAGGTTGTCACAGTTTACTTTGATTACAATTTCAATAAACCACAATCATCTGCACACAAAAAATAAATAAATTAAAAAAAATTAAGATGAAAAGGTGTATTATTTGATACTCAAAACATTTGCTTTTTATTTGGAAATAATTATCAGTTGTTAACTCTTTAAGATCATCATTTCAAAATATTATTTGACATTATGTAAATTGACATTCTGATAAATATACATTTAAATGAAGAACTCATGTATGGCAAATGACATAAATTAAAATATTACATTAAGTTTTCTACTTCATTCAATGCTATGTTCACAGTGTAAGTTGAGATTATATAGTGCTTATAAATAAAGTTCAAGATTGAATTACATCATATTAAGGAAATAGCTTTTCTTTATCTGACAAAGTTGAGGGGATTATGGTGCTTGCTGGGGCTCTGGAAGGTTTGAAGATGCCATCAGGTGTTCCTGGATGTTCAACATAGTTACCTTCTCTTACATTGATCCTGTAAATTACATTGCACATGATTATTAAAATTATTTAATCCTACTCTATTTTTACATTGACAAATCTCTTGAAAAGTATATAACAGAGACTTAAATTTTCAAAGCAATGCCAACTAAGGATCTGCTATAGAAACAAATTTCTATTTACAAGGCAATGGTGAAACAAGGTTGATAATAATCTATTTTACATCTCAGCAATCCTATAGGCAAGAATGAATCAAAGTGCAATAACATTCTGTCTAATGTTTAATGGTTAAAATAACATTATATTTAATGATTTATGGTTGCTCATATTTTCTAACAAAAAACTTTATATATTTGATCCCCTTTGATCTATTTCTTACCTCATTTGAGTCTGAAATTTCTTCTTGTAAATGATACAGGATACCACAGCAACAACCAAACCAACTAGTAAAGGAATCCCCACAGAAAGTCCAACAATCAAAGGAATATTTGCTGGAATAAGATACATGGCATTAGTAGGTTAGGGAATGGACAATTAAGGTTTATATAGCCATTTATGTTGTTTTTAAAAGCAATGGGACAAATTAAAACATAAGATAAGTTTCCTTTAAAAGACAACACAAACTTATAACTATACAATTTTATACTAAAAGTAACCGGTCAAAGAATCAAAGCAATACAACACAAATTAATGGCTTATATTTTAGAATAGAAATATCCTACTAATGCTTAAAAATTCACATATTCTAGTAACTTGACAAAACATTCATTCAAAGAATACACTCTTCAATGATTGAAATTATTTTTTACTTCTGGACAATATATTAGCACACAGCCATACAGCCTTACATGCATACCTGGAGAATTATTATGTGTGACTTTACATCATTAAATCATTTACTTTGTTGACATTTCAAAAAATTTATTTTTTGTAAATTTTTTACAAATACAAAAAGTACAATTTTATTTTATTTAACTTAAAGAACCTTTGTTTATAAGTTTACTTACTGTCTTCATCATTACTCCTGTGAACACAACAAGTGGCAGATTTAAAACTAATTATGTAAATAATAATATATAAGTCATGCAATAATTTTTAGTAAGTGACATAAATATAGCATTTGAGGTAAAGAAAATTAAAGAGAGTCCTAGAAAGGGCAATAAAGTATATAGCTTACTAGGGAGATATATTTTTATTGTGTATGCCTCACTGGGAATGCTAGAGCCAAATAATGAAAAAGGTTTATGTTTAAGACAAATGTTCTTCTCATATCTTACTTGCAGTAAGCCTCTCCATCACCACTGAGTTGACACAATTTATCTGAGTCACATGGTTCAAGTGACTCTAGTATTAAACACTTGTCTTTGGTTGGAGGAACTAAATATTTTTAACAAAAAATAATATATAAATAATGTGTTTGGTAAGATTAAAATATAAAAGAAGAAGAGAAAAAAAACAACATTTACAATTCAAAACATTAACTAAACTATCAAAGCAATAGACACAATCTCTATAAGCAACATATTATTGTTCATTTACCAGCTGTTAATGAACAATTCTTTCTTATTAAAAATCTTCTCTGACTTGCCTGTAATATTTCCCACTGTGACAATTGCATCCTGATGTATGCCATCCACCATTAGACCCGTCTCAGCTATTTGTAAGATGGCCTCAACCATTTTACTGGCAGCATTCACATCATTGATCTGTTCAATGCTGGTGGTCAAGTCAACAATGACACTCCCTGGCCTTTGGACATAAGATATGCAAATTCAAAGCCAGGTGAACATAGAATTAAAACAAAATAAAAATTTAAACTGCAATGTTAAAGCTACAGGTCTTAACTAAGGTTTCCTAGTTGACTAATTATTTGTTAAACTCTTCGCAATTTTTCATACTCAGCACCAAACTGCCTTAAACATGTGCATAGTTTTTTTTTTACAAATTACTGTAGGGACACGAAAGAAATTAATAATAATTATATGTAATATAATACCAATCTTTAAAATTAAATCAACCTTCAAAAATTAAATAAATATTTATGTGTAATGCTACCTCATAATGATATTCTATGTTTTTAGAGCCAAACAATTAAATCAGATGTGTTAGCTCTTAAATAGTTAAAGAAATGAAATATCACATCATAAATTATTAACAATTTAATTCAATGCTTCCAAATTTAAACAAAAATAGAAGTTGCACATTACCTCATACTGTGGATAAGTATATGTTTCAGTCCAGTAACTTTTGCTCTAATTTTTGTCTTTAACTAAATAAAATTAAAATTCAAGTATTCATGAAACAATATTAAGTACCACTAAAAATAATCAACATCTCTATTTTGTTAGGCATAGACAACTAACATATTTTTTAAGACAGGACATTAGAAGTAATCAATTTCTTATAACATAAAGTTATAAGATTAAAGTTCTCAATAAATTATTCCCCTTAATTTAAATTTAAGACTATCTTTGAAATTAAAAAGATAAAAATTGCTTTGTTGCATTCTTGCATTTTGAAATTAAAAGTTTTGCTAATGAAAAATAAAGGACTTTACAATTTATTTTGATAAAAGGGAGACTATTTTATTAGGAAAATATTTTTTGTTTTTTAGTAGATAATTTCATTTTGACTCTAAAGATTTATCTTCCGATATTAAAATAAATCTTAACATAAAAATCATGCAAGGTTAAATAATGGAATTCTCATTTATTTTGAATTCACTTTTAACACCTCTTTTCAGCAATTCTTCTGCAAATAATAAATGTACAAGTTATTCCACCCTACTTACAGCTGTTTCCATCACTGCTTTCAGTGTGATATAATCTTGTCCCAATTTTTCTCTCAGATTTTTGCCTGTCACATCCATTAGTAGCTTTACCTGGAAGCCATAGCCAACTGACTCTGTCAACAAAGGGGTTGGACTGTGTTAAAGCTTTTAATAAAGTTTTTTTTTTTTTGTAGCTGTTTATAGCAATATCAAATCAAAATGTAACTTTTATTATCTCAATATGTCAATTCATTTAAAGGCAATTTCTTTACTTTTAACTAACTTAGTTAATCATTTTCACCAAGGAATATTTATTAGCATAAAAAGTTAATTACAAATTTATATTTACATTAAGTCTCCATTTATTTTAACTTATTTGTAAATGCATTCAACATTGATACAACCAGTAACAAAAAACATATGTTTTTAAAGAAAATGCCAAACTGGAGTTAGAACTCTTGACTTTATAGTTACACAAGTAAATTAACTCACTGGCCAACAAGACAATGTTATTGTTATTATATAGTATTATTATTATATTTATTTAGTTATTTGCTTTTTATAGACATGCACAAAATTATGGGCTACCTGCTAGTTGCAGTTTCCTTATTTTTTATTGATAAAAAAAAAAAAAAATGGGGGGGGGGGAATTGGTAACTCAACTGGACAGTTGACTGCTATTTTAAACAAAAGCCTGTCTTATTTAAATTAAAATGTTTCTCTAAATATATTTAACTGTCTATCAAGTTCATTGAATCCTTTGTAAAAAGTGTTTTTTTAGGAATAAGCTGTGAATTAAAGTTTAACTCTCTAGAGAAATATGGGCTTTATAAAGATAATAAGTACAGGTAACATAAACAAAATTCAAAAGATATAAATGAAATTACTATTTGAAGAGGTAAAGACCAACAAATAGATAATAATGATTCATTATTATTAAATTTTTATTTTTATTAAGTACCCCAGGCAAATGCTAGGCACACTGCATTTCACAAAAATGTAGCGTTTACAGAAAAATATATATTTAAAAACAGTTTTGTAAAACTGTTGACCTCACCCACACAAGTACTATTGACAGCAAGAGATGTATCTTAGGGTCAGTTTTAAGCCTTGGATAGTTGGTATAATGTGTAATGTGGGAGAAGTTCACTTTTTGGGGGCATGGAAACATAAAGATTGTTCACCATAAGTTTTTGGGTGTGTCTTCTGTGAAGGAGTGAAGCTTTCAAAGTGGTGAATAGACACAAAGACGTTGATGAAGATAGTGAAAGCAGGAACCATAGAAAAAATTATGATAGTTATTACTCACTATAACATTTTTTCTGATTAGTTTCATCCACTTCATAACCTGCTACACACGAGCATGAAAAACTTCCAACTTCATTATTGCATTTTTGTTGGCAACCACTGGTGGCTTGCTGGCACTCGTCAATGTCTAGTAAGTTAATTGCAAATAGAAAATTGATTCATCATTGACTTTAGAAAAACTAAATTTACTAAAAATGGAATTTGTTTTTTAATGGAATTTATGAAAATAAATAAGAACCAAAGATTATTTTTTTAAATATGTCAAAATATATAACTTTATATAACAAGCTTGAAAATATGTATTTAAATATTTAACTTAGCTTAACTTATAATAATCTTACCTTGCATAATATAAGGCTAAGTTAGACTTATAACAGTCTTACCTAACATGTTAAGATGACAGTAAATCTTAAAATTTTCAAACCTTAGCTTCCCAAAAGCCTAGTTAAATTTAAAGCAGACTTACCTTAATTATCTATTGCAAGTTTATAGACTAAAAACAATTTACCTTGACAAGTATGACCATCTGAAGACAGTTTATAGCCTGACCCACAAACACAGGTGTAACTCCCTTGTGTATTGCTACAGTTTCCATCACATTCATTGCTGAAATCTCCAGCACATTCATCTAAGTCTGTTAGTGAAGAATAATTTGATAACTTTTTATACCAAGAATACTATCTAGTTTAATATGGAATAAGTTAAATTATTTTAATTTAAAATGACAAGCTAAATATACAGCCATATTCTCTATAGCTGATATAACTTTTATGTGATTTGTTGTTTTTTTCCATTAAAGTTGGCATTTAAAAAAAAAAAAAGAACTCCATAAATTTTAATTCTGACTCTCTTCATCTTCAATGTTAATTTCAAATTTAGATTTACTAAATATTTATATTAAAATGATATTTCTGTTAAAGAAGTATATGAACATTCCAATTATTGTAAAATTAATATAAAGTATCAGTGTATTAAAAAAAATATGGATTTGTTGTTGTTGAGCCTTCTCGTCCATGAGGGGCATCCACCGATCATCATCGGCGTCTGCGGTTCCTCCAAGGGCATAGGCCACCTACGAGAGACCTCCAGGCATCTCTATCCTGGGCCAGTTTCTCCAGGATCTTCCATTCATGGCCAATTTTCTTGATGTCTGTCTCCAATTCTCGGCGCCAAGTGTTTCTTGGACGGCCTCTTTTCCGCTTACCCTGTGGGTTCCATTTCAGGGCTTGCTTTGTTGTGTTAGAAGCAGGTTTTCTTAGTGTATGACCAATCCACCTCCACCGCTTCTGGAGAATCTCTTCCTCAATGGGCTTCTGTTTTGTCCGCTGCCACAGTTCCTGGTTGCTGATTTTGTCTGGCCAGTGAATTCTGAGAATCCTTCTTAGACAGTTGTTGATGAAGGACTGGATTCTGGTCAGGTTTACGGCCGTTGTTCTCCATGTCTCGGCTCCATATAGCAGCACAGGTTTTACCATAGCGTTAAAAATCCTTACTTTTAACTTGCTGCCTAAGTTGTTAGAGACCCAAACATTCTTGAGTTGTTGGAAGGCTGCTCTTGCTTTTCCTATCCTTATTTTGACGTCCGCATCTGTACCACCTTGTTTATCTACCATGCTGCCAAGGTAAACAAAACTGTCCACCTCCTCAAGGGCTTCTCCTTCAAGCATAATGGGTGATGTACTGGTGGCATTAACCTTGAGGATTTTACTCTTCCCTTTGTGAATGTTGAGACCCATGCTAGCAGAAGTGGCTGCGACAATGTTTGTTTTCTCCTGCATCTGTTGTTGGGTATGTGCAAGAAGTGCAAGATCATCAGCAAAGTCAAGATCATCCAGTTGATCCCACAAGGTCCATTGGATGCCATTTCTTTTCTGCTGTGTAGATGTTTTCATCACCCAGTCAATGGCTAACAGGAAGAGGAATGGTGACAGCAAGCAACCTTGTCTCACACCAGTCTTCACCTGGAAAGCATCTGTCAACTGCTGGCCATGGATAACTCTGCAGTTTATCCCTTCGTACATGTTTCTGATTATATCAGTAATCTTCTGTGGCACCCCGTAATGCCTTAGCAATCTCCACAGGGTTTGCCTGTCAACACTGTCGAAGGCTTTTTCATAGTCAACAAAGTTGACATAGAGCGGCGAGTTCCACTCTAGTGACTGCTCTAGAATGATGCGCAGTGTCGCTATCTGGTCCGTGCAGGATCTGTTGGTGCGAAAGCCGGCTTGTTCGTCCCGCAACAGAGGGTCTACAGCGTTTTTCATCCTGTTAAGTAGTACACGGTTGAAAACCTTTCCTGGGATGGACAGCAGGGTGATCCCTCTGTAGTTCGAGCAGGAGCTTAAGTCTCCCTTCTTTGGGATCTTGATAAGGTATCCCTCTTTCCAATCTGAAGGAACTTGCTCCTCTTCCCATATCTTCATAAACAGAGGGTGTAGCATTTCCACACTGGTTTCCAGGTCCACCTTCAGTGCCTCTGCTGGGATGCCATCAGGTCCCGCAGCCTTTCCATTTCTGAGTTGTTTAATGGCCCTGCTAATCTCTTCTTTGGTGGGACTATTACAGTCAATTAGCAGGTCATTATCGGCTGGTTGGATATCTGGTGGATTTCTTGGTTCAGGCCTGTTCAGGAGCTCTTTAAAGTGCTCCTTCCATCTCCTTCTCTGTTGCTCCTCACTTGGTATGGTGTTTCCCATTTTGTCCTTCATTGGTCTCTCTACCTTGCTAAATTTCCCTGACAGCGTCTTAATGGTATCAAACAGTTCCCTCATGTTCCCCTGGTGAGCTGCATCCTCTGCTTCTTTAGCAAGTTTATCAACAAATTCCTTCTTGTCCCTCTTGATGCTTTTCTTAACTTCCTTATTTGCATCTGCATACTCCTTCTGGGACTTGTTTTTCTGTGCTCGGGTGCGGCTGTTATTCACTTCTGATTTCTTTCTTTTCCTTTCTTCTATTTTATTCAGCGTACCTGCTGTCATCCATTCTTTGTGTGCCTTTTTCCTGTTTCCTAGCACTTCTTGACATGTTGACTGGACTGTTTCTTTCATGCTTTGCCACTTTCCTTCGGTGGTTTCATCTTCAAGTATTTCTTGTAGGACTTGGAACTTATTGAATAGTGAGATTCTGAATTCTTCCTTTTTGGCTTGGTCCTTCAGGAGGGAGGTATTATACCGAGTCCTGTATGCTGTTTGCTCGGTATAATGTCTCTTTAGTTTTAATTTCATCCTGGCCACAAGAAGATGGTGATCTGAGGCAATATCAGCTCCCCTCTTAACACGTACGTCTTGGAGAGATCGCCTGAATTTTTTACAAATACATACATGGTCTATTTGGTTCATCGTTCTCATGTCCGGAGAGACCCATGTAGCTTTGTGAATCCTCTTGTGCTGGAAAATGCTCCCCCCTATGACCAGGTCAGCTGTGGCACATAGGTCCGCAAACCTCTCACCATTGTCGTTCATCTCTCCTATCCCTTGCTGTCCCATAACCTCTTCGTACCCTGTGTTGCTATTGCCGATCTTGGCATTAAAGTCTCCCATGAGGATGATGATATAAAGTATCAGTGCATTAAAAAAAATATGGATTACAACACCAATTAATGTAACATTTAAAAGCCAAACAGTTTCAAAAGCATCATGATTTCTCTCCCCAGCTATTACTTCAAATTAAGAAAAAAAATTTTTCTCTCATTTCTATAATAAGATTCCTTAATTAAAAAAATCCTCACCAACACAGGTGTTATCATTAATCTTATATCCAGAGGCACATTCACATTTGTAGGATCCGGGGGAGTTAATGCAGATCTGAAATTTAAAAAAAATAAAATATAGAAATATTATGTTTATTTTCCTCAAAGGATGATAAACATAATAATCTGATAATCTCATGCAACCAAAAGCAAATAAACAACAATCATCTTCATTTTATTTTAACCATATTGGCTAAATTCATGTATAAAAGCTCAAGCAATTTTCCTTTGGCAAGCAATATCAATAATATTTTAAAAAATATGTCAGAATCAAACTATTAAGACTTGTCTTTACATTCTCACCCAATGATCTTTTTTAGCAGTTACACAAATATTATCACTGCTGTCACATTCATTGTTATCTTTGTCACACTGAGCCCCAGTCCACCCTGTATGACAGGTACAAGTGCCTGTCACCTTGTCACAAGAGCTGTGTGTCAGATCACACTGACATTGGTTTGTGCATTCCTCTCCAAAGGTTTTGTCAGAACACGCTAAAATTATACGTTTGAAGCAAAAATTGGAAGAATTATTTTGGAAAAATCACAAAACACTAAATATACATATGTAAATCATACATTATAAAAATGCATCTAAATACTACTTTGCAGAATATTGCATAATATATATATATATATATATAAATTATATATATAAACTGATAAAGGAAAAAAATTATCAAAGATTCTACAACATACTGTCTACATTTATATCAAATACAAAATTAATGCATTTACCAAGACACTGGCTATTTGAAGAGTAGTAGCCAGGATTACATTTACACACAAAACTCCCTGGGATATTAACACATTTGAATGGAGATGGACATTTAGATATTTCTTGGCACTCATCATTGTCTACATCACATGTGGCTGAGAGCCAACCTGGTTTACAGATACACTTTCCAGTTGTCTAAATAAACAATTGATATATAAAATATGAAATGCAAAATTTGATACATAGTGTGTTGCATATCATGAGTCAAACAGCATGCTGACAATTGTCAGATTTCATGTCTGAAAAATGTTAGCAAAACAAAGTTATTACAATTGTGAAAAGAAAAATGAAATAAAATATTTCATTTTAATTAAATCTCTCTAATTCTCACAAATCTATGTAAAATTTTAAAATATAATTGAATTTAATGTGTTTTTCATTTTCTGTCACAGAAAAAGCAAACATATAATAACATATAAAATATTTTCTATTAATTTGTATTGTTATTTTTACTGTTTTTAAATAGCCAAATAATAAAAAGCTATAACAGTGTTAGGGACTTGAGTGTATAGTGTGATTGCCTGTTGGTTTGAGATTATTTGTGTTGTTTTATCTATGTTGTTCTTTGATGACAGCAACGGCAGTTGAAGAATTTGTTGATTAATAAAGATATTTCATCTAAGAATTATAGTTGTGAATTTCATATAATTAAACCCCACTAGACAACGAAGCCAACGAACCTATTAAGTAAGAATAGGTTTGTAACAAACAGATTAGATGAAACAAACCTTGTCACAGGAATTGGTGTTTGTTGTATTACAGGAGCATTTTTTACTGCAGTTTAATCCATAAGAACCGGGTAAACAGTCTGAAATATTAAAATACAAATCTATTGGATATATGAATAAAAAGGAGATACTTCTTCTTAAAGGATTTATGGCAATGACATAGCAAAATATTATTTTTTTTTAAACAAAGAAATATTTACATCTGATAGTTGTGAATGGGATCATTTTTAAAAAAAAATTATTATTATTTCTACTCAGCTGGAGCTTTTCCAGTTTATATTCACTCTCTTAAACATGAATGTTAGTGTAAGTTGTCTGATTTGTGGAGGTAGTGTAAGTTGTCTGATTTGGTGAGGTAGTGTAAGTTGTCTGATTTGTTGAGGTA